CAGCCCACTCCTGCACCCTTCCTCCCTCCCTCCCACCCCAGCCTGCTCCTGCACCCTCCCTCCCTTCCTCCCACCCCCAGCCTGCTCCTGCACCCTCCCTCCTGCCCAGCCCCACCAACTGCCCACACCTCAAGCCCACTTCCTGGTCACCCCCTCCTACACCCTGCTCCCCTCATTGTTGGCCCCATCCCAGAGTCTAGTGGGGCCCACAAAATCTACTAGCTCGGGCCTCTCTAGGCTCTGCTGTGGGAGGGGAACATGGGGAGTGTCTTTCTCCACAGTTGGGGGGCCACCTCGGAGAGGGGTTTTGGTTGTTTGGGGGGGTTACTTCTCACTTTTGTGAGCCCCCCCACCTGATTTTTCTGTGAGTCAGTGGCCCCCAACCCAAAAAAGGTTCCTCCCCCCTGGACTACAGGGAAGCCTTAGGGTGCATCTTCCCTGGCACAAAGGGGTGATCTCAGTAGTGACCATACAGTCACCCCTAGGCGGTAAGATCCAGCGAGGAGAAGTCCGTGTGCAGTTTTACCATGAGCTAGTGGGTCCCAAGACTGTGGCTACATTCGCTGGGTGCTGGGGCGGGAGGGAGCCTGCCCGCCCTTTGGCCGGCCAACGTTTCAGTCGGCATTCATCAGCTCTCGCTAGATCACACTCTATTCCCAACCGGCTCAGTGGCTGCCTTTGTCTAGACTCAATGCTAACGCGATGGTTAACATGTTAATTAACGTATTTGAGTTAACGATCTAATTCCCCCACCATATTGCCAAGCCACGCTGCCACTGCTGAGCCGAGCAAATAATTCACACTGGATAACTTCTTCAGACAAATGTACTTCTTTTTCTGGCCACGAGTACGCCCCACGCGAACCATTTTCAGAACCATTCACAATTTTCCTTCCACAAGTAATCCTTAGCCTGCAGGTTGTGCAGTGTATGAATGCAGCAACGCCCCCTCCAATGTGCAATTTGCAAATTGAGGCCACTAAGTTACGGAGTCTGTAAGGGACGCGAGAGGTGTCAGTTACATTGCAAATATTTGAACTTGCCCGGGGGGGTCCCTTAAATAAATGGTCCAACCAGGGAACAGACACCGCCCCAGGACTTTTTAACCACGGAGTGTGGATTGTGTTAATTTTACAGCTGAACATACCATCTGGCATTTGTTTGCAGAGCGACGGTGTCCGCGTTCAAGCTAAAATGTGCTTGTTGGATTTGCACTAGTAACGGAGTACATGGATGTTACCGGAATGGGGACACAGAAAGGTCACAATCACAACTGGAGCCAAATTCACTTTCAGATTTGTGCAAATATTCAACGATTCCCCCCTCCTCCCCCACACACACAATTTGCACATTTCTACTTCAGCTGCTGCAGTCTGCTAACTGCTCGCACTGCCTCACACCCGGGCGTATGTAGCACACGGCATCTGCTTGCCTATACATAAATGCATATGATTTGGGTTCTATTCCCTTTTTACAATGGGATCACACCAGGCATATTCCTTGTCACCAAAGTACATCCTTTCAACTTGACAGTCAGCTCCCCCTCCACCTCTGCTATTATCTCAGGTTGGCATTAAACACGTCAGGTGAAAATACTACATTTATCTCCCTGCAATTCCTCCCCAAGGAGATGGATAATACAGTGCATTCATCTCTGCAGCAATGACTTCCCTGGCGTAAGCCTGACAGCCCAAGGCTGCTGAGAGGTGAAATCAAATAGAGGTACGGCCGCAATCTTTCTCCCGCTGTGTGGTCTCTAGATTGCCACGCTGGGCGAGGACAGTGCCTCTGGCCAGTCTCCTTCCTTTCCTCTTTTCAAGATTACTGGGAGGTGAAGTAGGCTGGACAACAGCTGGGCCCCAGATCTGCCCCCTAGCTTGCCCCCTGTGCTGGGGCTGAGTGCTAGGCTGACTGACGTGCATCTCTTCGCCCAGCTCCGCTCTAGGTCTTTGTTCCGCCCTCACCTGTTCCAAAGGTTCCGTGACTGGAATGTTGCAACAGTGCAGGTGACGGGGTGCAAGGCCAAAGAGAATCCAGCTGCCCCCCCACCACCGAGCCAACACCAAGCCAACCTGGTGTGATGTAGCGGGGGTACGGTCCATTCGCTGGGTGCTATGCTTGGGCTGTGGATCTCCCCTACTGGCCTCTGTCTGTGAGCCCGGCCCAGCCGGGGGTCGCCCTGAGGACCCTGATGTGGAGACCATGGCACAACGGAGAGGGAAGGAGTCTGAACAAAGGAAGGGGGTGGTTTGGGGAAGAGTCAGTCTTGGTTGGGAAAACATGGAGAGAGGAGGCTAAGCAGAGTGCTGGGAGTTCAGGGGGCTATGCACCGTGCCCCCAGGGGTCTAGGGCTGCCAGCCCCTGACTCCTTATGTCCACATCACGTCTGTGCTGCGCTGTCCCCTGGAGAAGCAATAACCCCTCTGTTCTACCGGCTGGTGGAGTCTCATCTTGCTGTAGACAGGGTGCAGGGGACCCCGGGAACGCCACACCTGTGAATCTGCCCCATGAACCGACTGGGTATTACGTGTAGCGCTGTGTCTTGAGCAGAAACAGGCTAACCAGTGGCTGACACGCCAACCTTCCAGCCACGCCTGGCACCCTCAGAGCTATCCATGGCCACTAGCCAGGATGCAGGGATGATGGTTCTAGCCTCTCTTTGCCAGAAGCTGGGAATGGGTGACCCGCTTAATGATTCCCTGTTTTGTTCATTCCCTCTGGGGCACCTGCCATTGGCCACCATCAGCAGGCAGGACACTGGGCTAATGGACCTTTGGTCTGGCCCCGTGTGGCCGTTCTGATGTTCTTCCTTCACAGGGAATTGAGGGTAGTAACGCCCATCTCTGCAGCAGGTCAGCTCGTGGGGAGCCCTGCTTTATCCCAGCAGCATGGGAGTGAGCCCAACCCGGAGCACAAAGGAGAAGGAGACTTGGACTTTACAGCTTGGAAGAGAGGAGACTAAGGGGGGATAGGATAGAGGTCTATAAAATCATGACAAGTGGATAAAGAAAAGTGATTTACTTGTTCCCATAACATAAGAACCAAGGGTCACCCAATGAAATGAATGTGCCGCAGGTTTCAGACAAACAAAAGGAAGTCTTGCTTCACTCAGCGCACAACCTGTGGAACTCCTTGCCAGAGGATGCAGTGAAGGCTAGAACTTTAACAGGGTTCAAAAAAGGGCTAGATAGATTCATGGAGGTTTGGTCCATCAATGGCTATTGGCCAGGCTGGGTGGGAATGGTGTCCCTAGTGTCTGTTTGGAGGTAGGTGACGGGAGGGATCACATGAGGATTACCTGTTGTGTTCTCTCCCTCTGGGGCATCTGGCATTGGCCACTGGGCTGGATGGACCATTGGTTTGACCCAGTATGGTCGTTCTTACGAGGCTGCCTGGAATATATTGACTTTGACACTTTGACTCACCCTGAATGCTTTGTCCCTGACAAGAATGGTAAATCTAAGGAGGAAATGAAACCGGCCAGTTCTCCAGAACCGACTGTCTAGCCAGACATCCGGAAGGAGCAGCAGAGCTGGTAGTGCCATGCCGGTAGAGCAGCAGAGCCGTGACCTGCTACGACAAGCGTTTTGGACTAAAAACTCACGCAGGTCACGAAAGGAAGAATGGAGGGGACCCGGTCCAGGGTGCCGGGAAGCTGATGGTCTATGGTAGGAAATGGTTTCCTGCCCCTCCCAGTCTGGAACCGGAGACCCTCCCTGTGCCCAAGTGGAACGTTTGTGTCACGATGCTACGTTATCGCAGTGATGTCAGGCCACCCGCCTGGCAGAGGCTGTGAACAAGAGGCAGAAGGGCCAGCGGACTCTGCAGCCAGGATTGGAGGCCCGTCATTGTGTGGGGAACCACAGCCCCAGCGTTGGCTTGTCCGGCTCAGACGTGGCCGCTGACCCCCCCAGCCGGCTTAGTTCAACCTTCTCATTTCCCTTGCCCGTTCCAACCCGCCCCCTTCCGTTCAGCCCCCAACCCCACAGGCGCCCGGCGCTTACCGTCAAACTTGACGTTGAGCATGAAGTCCTTGTAGAACCTCCTGCCGTTGACCGGCTTCATGGCATCACACAGCCTGGTGGTGTTGGGGCACAAGGCCTGGTGCATGTTATGCAGGGCATGGGCCATGGCGTAGACGGCGTTGACCACAAACATGATCTTGGACTCCTGCTCGAACTTGCCCGTCTTCAGGGAGTGCCGGCTGCAGTCCTGGCGGTGGAAGCTGCACTGGAATTTGTGCTCCCAGAACTCCCGGAACCAGGGGTTCCGGCTGTTGTTGTAGGGGTGGAGGTTCCGGAAGTAGACGGCGAACTCCTGGATGGGGGGGGCCGCCCACTCCATCGCCACCACGTTCTCCAGGGCACCCCACCCGTCGCTGGCCACCCACGTGAAGGAGACGTTGATCCGCTGCCCCGCCGCCAGCAGCTCCCGGGCGTCTTCGCTGCGGGTGAACAGCACCACCACCCTCGCGCTGGGCTTCTGCAGGAGGGCCTTGATCACGCTGTCGAAGGTCTTCTTGTTCATGGAGCGCCCCACCTTCTCGGAGGTGGCGATGCAGATGTTGCGGGCCCGGGCTTCCAGCTCGAAGGCCTCGATGCCCGTCTCACCGTAGTCCCCCTCCGAGGCCACTGTGGAGACGTAGGTCCAGTTGAAGAAGCGCAGGATCTCGGCCATGGCCTTGGCCTGGTAGAAGTCGGGCGGGACGGTGCGGGCGAAGTAGTCATAGCGAGACTTGTCGCTGAGCTTGGCGCTGGTGGAGGCGTAGCTGATCTGCGGGATCTGGAAGAGGCGCAGCAAGTTGGCCACCTGGATCGGAGGGGGAAGAAGGAATGGGGGAGGTTACCGGGTGTGCAGGGGAGCAAGAGAGATGGAGAAGCGCCTGCCTCCGTTTACTGCGGCTGGTCTTCTGAAGGCTAGAAAGGGGAAAGCGTCTCCTTGAAGGAGCCTCATTGGACCACTCCATAGTCTAACCCTGATGTAGGCCGCAACATGCAGGATGTAGACGATTAAGTTGCCTGGGGATCCCCATCCTTAGATGTTTGTAAGAGCAGGTTAGACCAGGACTGGGCAAGATACCTCTTGCAGGCTGGATCTGGCCTGCCAAGCCACCGGACCCGCCCCCGGACGCCCCTCCCGGGACCCTCAGACACGCAGCAACTGCTGTCTGAAATGCAGGGCTGCTCCCTGTGACCACTCCGGAGGGAGGGGAAGGCTCCACGTGATCTCCCCACCCCCAGCCCAATCCTCAGCTCCTATTGGCCTGAAAAGCCAGCCAATGGGAGCTGAGAGATTGGCCTGAGGGATGAGGGTGGCACAAGCCGCGTGGAGGGAGCAGGCTGCATTTTCAATACTCTGGGGCTGCAGCAGGCAGGGAGCCTAGCCTGCCTTGGGGGTGCTGCAGGCTGGGTGATGCTCAGGCTCTCACCCCTCCCAGACCTGAGAGCCAGGTGGAGGAAGCGGGTTGCATTTTCAATGCTCTGGGGTTGTGGCAGGTAGGAAGCTCAGCCTGCCTTGGGGGTGCTGCTTAGATTAGCACCTCCTAGCCAGAGCCTGCCTCTGGCACCCCTGCCCCTCCCGCACCCCAACTCCCTCCCCCAGGTTACCTTCCAAGCCCTGTGCACCTCCCTGCCGCAGGTCACAACTCCCTCTGGTCCTGCACCCCATCTCCTGCCCCAGGTCACAACCCCCTCCTTCACCCCAACTCCTTCTCAGACCCCACACCGTCTCCTGCACCCCAGTCCCTTACCCCGGGCGCCCTTCTGCCCCCAGCCTCCATCCTAGTACCCGCACCTCCTCCATAGAAAAGTGCGGCCCTTGACCCCTTTCCACAATCTTGCCCCCCCCCAAAGTTATTGCCCACCCCTGGGTGAGACGAACACCGGTCAGGGACAGTCTGGGGACATTTAATCCTGCCTCAGCACAGTGGGACGAAGAGCCCCAGCTCTGCCCCAAAGCTCTGCCCCTAGTGCAAGTCCCTTCCAACCCTGCTTTTCTGTGATGACGAGCCCGCAGAGCGCAGGGGATGAGCACGGTCGGACCAGCGATCTCGGAGACTCGCCGGTGCCTGGATTCCGTTCCTACAGCACAAAGGAGCGCCAAGGAGCAGAGCCGTGGGTGTGCTGGAGATGGGATGGATGGATGGCCAGGAACTGTCCTCTGGCTACCTGTATGCGGGGCTGTAAGGGAAGGTGGGAGAGATGCTGGAATCGTGTTACGGGTCTAGGCATGACCAGTGTATAGACGGTTGTAACAAGCCCGGCCGTAGGAGTGTTTTATATACAGACGGGTTAGGCTCTGGCCACTGCAGCTACTGATCCGCAGGACTTGTAACTCTGAGTCAGCCACTGGGCCCAAGCACTGTGACTCCTTCGTCAGTCCCCTGCCAGGTGTTGACCGTGCCTGGGAAGTGTGACCCACTTGGTGGCCATGGACAGGGGCGTGCTGGAGGGGTGCTGGCTACATCTGGCTCGCTGTTCACCGGTATTCACTTAGGAAGGGGACAGGCCACCCCCTCAGGAATCCATGGTCAATAACAGCTGCAAAATGACAGCGTTGCCTCGGGCAATTAATTACCCCTGACATTACCCCTGCTCCCGGGGCCCCGTCTCTCTGGGGGAGGCAGAAGGATGGACACAAGGCTTGGCGGGATCTGCTTGTCCCGGGCGTGTGTCTGGAGCCGGAGCTATTTCCAAACCGAGCCACGTGCTGCAACGTCACCCTGCCCTTTGCACCACCTCAGCCCACCACCAGCCCCAGCTCTGCCCCAAAGGTAACTCCATTCCACCCCCTGCTCCGCCTCAACCCCAGCTCCACCCCCAGCTGCAACACCACCCCGCCCTCTGCTCTGCCCCAACCCTAGCTCCGCTCCACGCTGCCCCCCTGCTCCACCCCCAGCCTACCACCAGCCCCAGCTCTGCCTCCAGCTGCAACTCCACCCCATCCTCAGCCCAGCTTGTCCCTCATTCCCTCTGCCCCAGCCCAACCCCAGCTTTTAGCCCAAGCTCCTGTGCTGAGCCCACTGTGCAGTAACGGAGGGGTGCAGCACAGCGAGATCCTGTTCCTGGGAGGGCAGGAGGCCAGGAAATGTTTGAATCCCCCTGCATTAGACCCTCACCATTCTTATGTTGCATCACTAGACGTGGTGACATCACATCTGGACGTCCTCACCTCTGGCTGCATGTGCATGTTGTAAGCATTGCGACTCATCTGTGGGGGGACCCTCTGCTCCCCCCCGGGGCAGTCTCCACCGTGGCTCGGTGGTGGGGAGAGAGCTGGATTCTGTTTGGCCTTGCACCCTGTCACCTGCACTGTTGCAACATTCCAGTCACGGAACCTTTGGAACAGGTGAGGACGGAACAAAGAACCCAGCTGGATTTTCAGAACCGGACTAATTAGACATCTCCCGGGCTGTTTGCAGCTGCTGCTGTCACAACCGTGCATAATCAGTGTAACTGCATGTGGAGATGACGCACCAGCATCTTTTGTGATCTCCAGGGGATCTAAAATTCCCATCCTGAAGCATCGGAAGAAAACCATCTGGGTTTCTCCTCCGCTGGAGGCTGAGGCTAATCTGAGGGAGACTCAAGGACCATTCACGCAGGAGAAGGATGCACCACGGGCCGGTGCCCAGCAATGGTGCAGCCTGAGACAATCTTGGACAAAGGTTTTGCCACCTCTGCTGAAGCCGCATCTAACCACATTTGCACTCTGTGAGACAGAGCCTAACCTAACAGCCGTTTCTCCTCAACCCGATGGAGAATCATAGAACCAGAGAGCTGAAAGAGACATCAGAAGGTTATCAAGTCCAGCCCCCTGCCCTAGGCAGGACCAATCCCAGCTAAATCAACCCAGCCAGGGCTTTGTCAAGCTGAGACTTAAACATCTCTAGGGATGGAGACTCCACTACTTCCCTAGGGAACCCATTCCAGCAAAGCTTGCCTGGTGGCTAAGGGCAGGGACCGGCAAGTCCATGTGAGGGGTCCACAAGGGCGATGGTGCAGACGAGGCCACCAGGCAGATCGCTGGTAAACAATCACCAGGGGAACTCCCCTCCTTGTGCCGTTTTAACAAGGACACTTCTGTGGACCCCAGTGAGGTGTCAGAAAGGCAACAGCACATGGGATGAGGCTAGAGCGCTTTGATTGGCTGTTTGACCCAGAGAACTCTGGCTGAACGGGAGACCCTTCCGGTTCCCGAATGTTCTATCGCTGTAACGGTCCCTCGGGTGGGACGGCACGACCCTTCCGCTCTTTCTTTTCAAAATACTTTTTCAGAATAAACCGTTTCCACCCCGAACATGAGCTGGGAAGATCATTATCAGCAGTCGGGAGGGTGATAACCTGTCAGGCTCTCCCTGCGAGTCACGGCATGTTCATTGTCAGGGTGAAGGTCACATACGTCTGTTATTTTGAGTGACTCGAGTGTTGTTTTCCCCTCCGTTCCTGTTGCACTGTGCTTTGCAGCTTTCTGAGTCTCCTGAGCTGGTGACTTCTTCTGGGCTGCTGTTGTTCCGTTTGAATATTTCCGACTTTGCTCTCTGGGAAAATCAACTGCTTCTGTTGCGAAAACAGAAGAATCCAATGCCGGGAGCAACAACAGAACATCATAATCTCCAAAGTGCTTTGCAAACGTTCAGCAATTTGTTGTTATTATTTATATTAATCTGGGGGGAAGGGACAACAGCTGTGCCTGCCTCGTTCTCTTTCATTGATAAAGAGAGGGAATTTACGAGCTTTCTGTGTAAAACTTTTCTACATAGGAATGGCCAGACTGGGTCAGACCAAAGGTCCATCTAGCCCAGTGTCCTGTCTGCCAACAGGTGCCAATGCCAAATGCCCCAGAGGGAGGGAACAGAAACAGGTAATCATCAAGTGATCTCTCTCCTCTCCTCCATTTCCAGTCCCTGACAAACAGAGGCTAGGGCCACCATTCCTACCCATCCTGGCTAATATGTTTTGATAAACCTAACCTCTTTTTTGACCCCTGCTAAAGTCCTGGTCTTCACAACATCCTCTGGCAAGAAGTTCCACAGGTTGACTGTGCACTGTGTGAAGAAAATCTTCCTTTTGTTTGTTTGAAACCTGCTGCCTATTCATTTCATTTGGTGATCCCTAGTTCATAGGTTAAGGGCACAAATAAATCACTTTTCCTCATTCACTCAATACACGTCTCACAGGGTAAGACAGATTTATTTGTGGTTCTGGTTCTCTTTGGGTTGCTTTCCTGGGTGCTGTCAGTGGCCTGATAGCTGAGCGCTCCCACAGCTGAGCTGGGAGCTGTTACTTTAACTCTGTGCCTAGTCTGGAGGAGACCAGAGCTTCTGGCCCAGCAGGACAGTCCCTCAGACAGGGTTGTCCCACGTCTCCTTTCCCCGGGGGGGACTTACGGCATGACGGGGCCGCTCTCCTCTCGATGGTCCTGCTCCCCCATTTCCCTCACTCCGCCGGATCCCAGTTTGTGCAGGCGGATTAAGACTAGAGCCAAAGGATCAGCACACACAGCTCAGAAGGTTTCTCAGGCCCCACTTGACCAAGCCCTGGCTGGGATGATGGAGTTGGGTTGGTCCTGCCTTGGGCAGGACTCAATGACTCCTGAGATCTCCGACAGCCCTCGGATTCGCCGATTCATGCCCATTGACTGGGTTCCCCTAGAGCTCCAGAAAGGGTTTCTAGTCCCAGAGCATGCTGGGGGATTTCTTCTCCATTTCTGCCCCCCATGCCTTGTGGGAACCGACTCCCCCAAGAGGAGATGGGATTGCTCCCGTCGAACCCTTTTCCCGGCCTGACGCGTGACTCGGGGCCCTGCTT